TTATCAAGTATTCGAACTTTGTAAACAGTTCATCAAGCATATGCTAGCTGTCGGCAAAATCGATTGTGACTTGATAGCGAAAACGTTAACCAAAAGCAAAAATCAGAAATAGTTTTTCTTTCTCGTAAATCTCCTGCTTTAATTAAAATGAGATGTTTTGAGCCTTTTTGCACATTCTCAAGCACAAATATAGACAACTTTTTAGCATTAATTTTCAAAATTATCGTTAAGCAACAAATTTTTCTTAGAAACTCATACCGATGAAATTCCGGTTTCATCCGGCCCGGTTGGCTTTTTCAACCGGTCCGATACCGGTTTGCCGGACCGGTTCCAGCTCTGAAGTATAGTAGATATTATCATCGAAGGTTTTCATCACTCAAAAGAGAACATTCGAGTCCATCAATGTGAGTCAAAATCTATTTGATCAACGATCGACCAATTGGTAGGAAAAAGTCTTCTCTGTCGATCTTCGTAAATCCAAAATGCAAAATTGCTTCAGTTCAAGAGTTACAAAAGTTTTCCTGAGATACCTCAATTTCAGTAATTTGACCTCGAAAGACTTCAAAAGAAATCAAGACAGGTTATTCATTACATTGATTCTCTATACAACATTAAACCCGAAGTGTTTATAGTAGTCTCAAGTTGCTTGGAAATAAACATCAGTCCCAGATCTCTACGTGATTTCTATCAAAATTTATTAACAACAAGCATACACTTTAATTAAATTTTGGTGCGAATGGTAGTATTGGTGATGATGATGATATTGACTGCTAGTTAGTATTCTTATTGTTTCCTTGTAGTTTTGAAGACAAAATTATTAACCGTCATATTTTCTTAAGCTTCGGGGCGATCAATGAATATCATTTTCAGAACATGGTGAAAAGATAAAAGTACTAAACTTCCGAAATTTAAATCCCAAAGAACATACTAAATAACTCAAGAAAAATATCTAACGATATAAGTGTATACTCTTCTTACACGTTCTTATATCTATATATATTTGTTTTGTTGTACTTTTATTTTAGATTTTATGCTGCTGTGAATGAATGAGTCGATATTTAACATTCTTTTATTTTTCTCGTCGTTCAAAAATTTTTTCTATTTGCAAATATTCCTTAATGTTTTTACTTGTTCTATGTGTACTTACTTATATTTTACTTAAAATTAAATTATTAATTGATTATCATTATGCTCATGTATTTTATCAAAGTCAACAAAGTAAAATATGTCAAAATAATATTAGTTTAAATCGAAACAAAACAAAACAAATTTTGTTTTGGACAAAAATATTCTCTAGTCCAATCGATTCACAATATTTAAATAATTATTTATTTACATCAACAGGTCGTTGTAGTATACATCAATGTAAAGTGAGTAATAATCGAAAAGAATTATGTGATAGTGATGCTGTTGTATTTCATGCACGAGGTGGAATTAAAATGTATGATATGCCAAAAGCACGTTTACCTTATCAAAGATATGTTTTATTAACAAAAGAACCACCCTATAAAACAACGGCAATTGTTGGTCATTTGAATTATTTTTTTAATTGGACAGCAACAGTAAGTGTTTCAAAAATCTTAAAATTTATAACTAGATAGAAAGGAAGGAAGATTAAACATTTTTGGACGTTCAGACTCTTACTATAATAAATGTGAGGCTGAAATAATTGAAGATTATGCAGGAAGAAAAAAAGCCGATTTCAATGATTCTTGCTATCGAAATAGGGAGAGAACTTACCAAGTAATACGTAACGGAAAATTCGTGGATTTAATTCTTTAATAAGAAAATAACTATTAGGGGACAAGCACGAGTTTTCTATAAAGTTTGATCAAAGGTTCTCAGTGTCGAAGAATCTAAATCTGTAATCAATTTTTCGGAATTTTATACTTGATTTCTAGCTCTGGGAACGGTTATTTTTGAAAAATTGATTGAGAAACCAATTGCAAATTTGAATTTCTTGACTCCAAAAATTCCCCAAAAGATCCCGGGCCCTTTCATTATGAGTGGTCTTCTAATATGAACTCCTATCTATCATATAATTTATCTAGACGTACTTTATCGGTGTTCTCAGAGTATCTTAATGCTATATAGAAATATTCCAAAAATGATAATTGATATTATAGACAATCAAATTTTTGCTTTTAGTTACGAGTAATCATTTAACCTATATTTTTAGTATCGAACGGATTCAGATATTGATTATCGATATTTTCGCTGGCGTCGAAAAGATAATGTTAACACCGAAATAAAGCAACAATCATATTTAAAAAATCGTCAAGTACGTGCAGCATCAATGATTAGTAATTGTTATTCACAAAATAATCGTGAAAATTATTTAAAACGTCTTAGTTCAATCATACCTGTGACACGTATTGGATTTTGTTCATGGAATAAATGTCGTAAAAGACGGGATGAATGTTTAAATGAACTAGCAAATACACATCCATTCTTTCTTGCTTTTGAAAATTCTCTATGTCGTGATTATGCTACAGAAAAATATGCTAATGTTATAATTAATCGTCGTATGATACCAGTTGTATTTTCTAAAACTTCAAATCTTTATATACCAAATTCATTTATTGATGCAAATCAATTTTCATCACCAGAAGATTTAGGTCAATTTCTTATTAATATTGTAAATAATTCGACACTTTATGATAGCTATTTTAAATGGATCAATGAATATGAACTTGTTATACCTGATGAAAATGATTATTTATGTGAATTATGTAAAAAATTACATAATCCAATAGAACCTTATAAAGTCTATGATAGTATGAAAAAATGGTTGTATGATGATGCAAAATGTCAACGATGGATATCAAGGTTAAATAAAACAATCGATATACCTGTTGATGAAACAATGGATTATGAGGATCCTTTGTTTTAAAATTTTTATTAAAATAGATTCAAGCGTTATAAAATTTCCTTTTTTTTTTGCATTGTAACATTTATGTCTCGTCGATGGCAAAAGCAAATTCTTTGAAAATTTTAATATAGATTCGGACCATTCAAGATCTATTATATAGTTATTATATCTTTGATTTTCTTTTAGCTCAAGCAGAGCTAAGTGTTTAGAATTTTACTATGGAATGAACTTTCAGAATATCACATTATTTCTTAACAAACATAACCGGATCGAATAACAAATTAAAACTAGTAGTGTTCGTTACGGAATTTCATCAAAAATGAAGATGGTTTTTGAATGCATTATCTTGGTTCGTAGACATCTAACAGTTGTACGAAGGCCATTTGTTGAAAGAGTACACTTGATATCTGATCAATTTATTATTAATTGAAGAAATTTTTTTCCGCTGATCAATACTTGTTTGACGATGTATTTCACTATCATTTTTTACACAAATTTTTTAGTTTTTCAACTGAACATATCGAATAGTAAAAATACTCGATCCTTACGAAATAAAATATTCTAAGAATATACTTTTGTATTTCAAGTTACTGCGCGCTATTGGAAGGTGCCATCATATAATTGTAACGCTGAAGGTTAGGTATAATATCTGTAGTGCATCCTCACTTTTGACTGATAAATCAATCAAAGATTGAAGAAATCAATACTAAAAAAAACAATGTGATACCGAGGTAAACTATGACAAAGCATTCTAAATGATATCTTTTCAAATGATATTTTTCCAAGAAAGTTAGTATTAAGATGAAATGTTTCGTTCATCAACAGAAACTTTCATTATCTTGCATTTTTTTGATTTGTTTTTATGGATTTTTTTCTTGTGATGACGGTTGACGAATTCATCGACATTTTTATTTTGTTGCATAATTGTTTTATTGATTATTTAACATATATTACTTTTTTATTATTATATAATAATGTGACATTTCGTGACTGTCAGCAATGTCTTCATAGAACTACATAGCACAAAGCAAAACACATGATTATTTTTCTTTTTCGTTTTTTGCCAACTTCAATGGCGATACGGAACAAGATGGTAATAGTAATAGACTAGATTGATGAATCGTTTTCGTATCACTATTAAAGTTGCGAAAAAGAAGAAAAATAATCGTCTGTTTTGGTTTGTAAAAATTCCATTTTTAAATGTATACTGAGCTAAAAACAATATATATTTCTTGTAGCAACAAAACGTCACGTTATTGTAAAGTAGTAAGAAGTAAAATATATAAAATGATCAATCAAATAATTAAGGAGGATAAGGGTATGTGGATAATTAGGTGAATAGCGAGGGAGAAACAACTGAGACTTTGGTTTTGAAGTCTTGAAGTCCGCTGTTTCCCTCTTGGTGAATGGCTCTAGCGCCAGGGTCTGTGGATTTCCGGCCCGAATCGTTCGTATCTCATTCATCTGGATATTCTCCTCATTTTATTCTCAACAACACCCACACCTATACCGAGGCCACATCAAACTGATATTAAAAAAAGAATCATGTATATACTAGATTATTTGAAACAGGTATGTGCTGGACACATTGGTAAAATTCTTAGAAAGAATGCTCGAGGTTATACGAAAAAATAACAGTGTAAGATGAATACACAAGATATTTTTTTAATCACTTAACAATTGTTCTTCTCTTATGTGTGTTCATTGTCATTCTTCAGAGATTGTGTCTTTCTTTTTGTTCTTGGTGAGAAAACTTGTTAGACGAGAAAAAGGTCCGTCGATTGTTTTATCTAAATGACAAGAATACAGTAAAGTTTTAAACAGCAAGGCTTTGTACAAACTAGCGTCTCTTGTATTCATCGAGGCCAGTTGATTATCAATAGTCTCTTCAGGATTTGAAATATAGGAAATTCTGATCATATTCTCCCAATTAATCATTTGCATTTCAATGGTAACGTTTCGAGACATTTCAGGAAATTGAGAAATATCTTTTTCAAGCTCTTCCAATTGTTTTTTCCATTTTTTAAGATCAGTTTCAACAAAGTTCTCTAAACCCTGTTGTTCTTTTAGCTCCTTGCTTAATTCATCGACTCGTTTTTTAATATGATCATTTGTTTTAATTTTCTTCAACAGTTTTTCGACTTTCGCTCGAGCGTTGTCAGCTACTCGGTAACAGGCCTCAATTGCTTTTGCCTGCCATTCATCTATCTGTTTTAATAGAGCTTGTGCATTATCATTATCAAGTGGATTTAATGAATGATACATATTTGCTTGAAAACTATGTAGAATTCCATCGTGTTGATTAATGACATTGTCAAAATCGTGGGCAAGTTTTTCTCGATGCTCATCAAAATGTTTATGACAAAAATTGAGAGCACATCCGTGACATGAGGTGATCGCCACCATTCGTTTTGGAGCACAGGTGTGGCACATAGTTTGGGAAGTTCTAAAAAGGATTACATAATAAATAAGATGGAATGTCAGAGAAACGTTTGACGAGAAAAAGTAAAACCTGGGAATAATTTCTGATGACGACGTATCTATTGATTGAAGTGTTTTCTTATGTAAAATACCAGTGGCAAGAGAAATGAATACTTGTTCGACGTTAGACGAACTCAATGCTGACGTTTCCATGTAGGGTAGATTGAGTTGTTTAGCAAGTGCAGTAGCTTGTTCGAACGTTACTTGGCGTTGAGCTATTAAATCGGATTTATTACCGACCAAAATGATAGGCAAATTAGCAGGTGCAAATTTTTGAGCTTCATTGATCCATTGACCAACATTATTGAATGATTTACGATTAGTCAAATCGAAGATCACCAAAAAACCTGCGCTGCCACGATAATATGCACGCGTGATCGCTATATAACGTTCTCGTCCTGTTGTATCCTAGAGCACAGCAATAATATTAAAGTGATGGACACAAGTAAACCTACCCATAATTGCATCTTGATGACTTTGTCATCGATGACAAATTGCCTTGTACTAAATTCCACCCCAATCGTTGCTGGAATGTCGAAGGAAAATTCATTACGAGTAAAACGTCGCAGAAGATTAGTCTAAAACAAAAATCATTTGTCCAGTAATATTCGAAGATGTAAATAAAATTTTGTGCTATTCACTTTTCCGACACATTCATCACCGATGAGAACCAATTTGTATAAGTAATCATAATCGTCTTGCTTGTCGATATTCTCCGCCATAATGGTCTATCTAAAATCGCAATAGGAAGTGTATTCAAAAGGAATATATGTGTTACAATGCAAAAAAACGTGAGAACAACTAAATATTTCACTTAACTTTTTCTAAGAAAAGTTCACATGATTCATGAAATATCAACAAAATTAGGAACGTCGAGATAAGTCGTCGAATGTTCAATTGATATAAGATCTTTCGTTAAAAATAAAAAGTTCGGTATT